GCCTGCAGATTTTACTTGATATTCACTTTACAAATCAGGTCCCCTCCCAGGAGAGCCATAGTTGTGCGAGTTAACTCTCCACTACACAGTCCATGTACAGTGGTTTGATTCAGAAAAAAAAGACACATTCTGTCTTTTGAGCTCAGCTACAAAGATGCTGAATGAGAGCGCAGTCAGATTTCCTCAGTGGCTAAGAACCTACATTGCAAAAATATCATCCAGCCAAGCTGACCTAGGAAACAGAAGCCAGATCAAGTGGGAGAAGACATCAACAGAATATTTGAATATGTTGTTACAAACTGGCGAATCAGAGTCCACCTTTGAATTAATAATGGTATATAGATTTTAGCTTAGCAGATATTTGTTTGGATGTTTTAAACATGTGTAGTGTTACATTTGAAGAAATATTTATATGTGTTGAAGACAGTCTTTAGTAAGTGTATATGCAACTACAAGGAGCATTATATAACAAAATGCAAATAGATTAGTAATTATTGATAAAGAGAAACCAGACAGTAGCAAGAGCTTGGAGCAGATGGTGTTATTTATTCAGCTGCCTAAGGAATAATCCCATCTACATTTTTAATTGTATAAGTTATGAAATATTAAATGAACAGCTCTGATTTTTTTCCTATCACAGATCACTACTTTAGGACCCTGATTACAAAATTATCCTCAGAGTATATTTATAAATAAAATAACAAACCATTTTGGGTTGTTTTAGCCCATCATTGTAAATTTGCGCCTTAAAACATTGATGGAGATGTCTCTGGAAAAGATCCAGTCCTCAGGCATTTCCTCTGGAGTTATCTGCCCTAGCATTCCATCTGAGACGTGGTTATCTGATATATGAAGTTTTATGTAGCTCTTTAAAGCCGCTCCCATGTAGTTTATGCAAGCTTCTTGCTTGTTTACGCCGTACTGCACAGCTTTCAAAGGTGTTCTGTGCTCATTTGTTTTATGTAAATCCGGTGACATTTAACCGCCATGGGAATGCTGAAACTCAACAGGGAACAGTGTAAATTATGGAGCACATTGCTTTAAACACAACTTCCTTTGAATGTGGCATTGTAATTCAGTAATTTAGGTCTGCAAACACATATATCATGGCTCAGAATTATTATCTGACAAGAAGAAACCTCCAACACAATTTAACACATTTAATCCTGAAGATACTTTTTTGTGAAGCACGGGTTTCAAAAGAGTTATATAACAGCAGTAGCAAATATTTCTCCAAATGCTCATCAGCATTTTGGAATTATGCTGTGTGTGCACATAAGGGTTGCATGTGTCCATGTGTTTACCATTTTCAGCTTGCAGGAGCATCTCCTAGCAACTGTGGGCCTGAAAAGCCACATACACAGTCAGTGGGCTCAGGATACGATGGCACATTGCAGCCAAGCCAGTGGTCCCTATAGCAACATTTCAAACACCATCGAACGCACAGGGAAAACCAAATGGAAAAAGGAGCAGGTGAGCTGCTGAGAGTGGAACCTTTGAGACAGTGTCTTAGACTCTTGCAGGCACAAGAAATACTCCACACCTGGTGTCTTGTCTTTTTTCTGCAGAACTACTCTTTTCTGTTTTCTTTTACAACAAATATTTGTTTGCAGCAGAAAGAAATGGAAACCCTTTCAGTCGTTACCTTTGTAAATCTTTTTGTTATGTCTTAGAATTACTTTGTGAACTGATAGCTTGCAGAGTTGCAGTGCATGGCAAATTACTGCAGCGCATGTTGACGTCTTCGCACATTGTTATGTGTTGGTCCATTGCTGCTGTGAGTTAGTGGTATGCAGCATTACAGGAATGTGTGTTTTGTGTTATGCATGCCCTGGCCTGAACTCAGCCTTACACCTCAGCTATTTATTTTAACAAGAAAGGGCAAGATATGTAAGTTCAGCTCACTGGGAAGAAAAACATGTGGGCTGACAACGTAATCTTAATTTAAGGTCCACTGAAAGATCAGAAACAGACAGAGAAACACCTAAAAGTTTCCTTCAGGTGCAGGGCACAGCTCCGTTTGGTTAGACGCCTACATTTTTAAAATCAAAACAAGACTGAGTGCACTTCCCTTTTCTCTGCTCCAGGAATCAAATAAGTTTGTGCCCTGATTCATCTGTTCTTAGGTGTTTTTTTTTAGAACAAATGCTGCCATCTTGCTGTCGGTAAAGGAACTGGATTTTAAATATTGGCTTGGTGAAATTCTCCTGAAGGAGAACCACTTGAGAACCGGTGTTGGGTGCAGATCTGATGTTTCGAAACATTTCCTTTATCTTTAAGATCTTCCATTTTTATCACTGCCTTATTATTTATGTAATGCTATCCCCACAAAGAAGGTTATGCAGTGTTTGCAAGCGTGTCGAGTTGGGTCATATTAACACTTTGTTGAAAATTGAAATTTGTCTTTCACCCATCAAGGTCACCAAGGTCAACTTAATGATTTGTTGGTCAAAAATTGACATTTGACCTCTGACCTCTCCTTCACCGTCAATAGATGATCTGAAGGTCAAAGTGATAATAATGCTACATAGAGTTATTTGAAATGACAATAGTTGTCAGACTGACCAGAACATGCTGGCTGATTAATTTTATTATGGCTTTGTTGTGTATATTACAATAAGAGGTTATAACCATTTAAGTATGTAATGATATGAATAAATGTAAAATATTCCTAAATAATAATAATTATTATTATTTGAAAAAAAATTAACTTGTGATAACAAAAAATCACTTGATATTTATTAAACATAATTTTAATAAATGAACTTTACTAAACAGGAAGATGAATGCTCGGTATTTACTGTATCTACTCAAGTAAAAAATAAATAAATAAAAAAGTAATTATGTCAGTTATATTAAATCTTCCAGTAGTCACAGATTTCAAAAGGCCAAGTAAATCTTTGCACTTATTTTTACTGCACTACAAAAATCTTAACGTGAAACAAAATTAATATATAGAAAGTACAATATTATTCCTGCTCTGGTCGAGGGTTTTACTCTTGGACTGCTTCTTGTTTGGTTTTTTTCTCAAACTATCCAAACCTCACTACCTCCTGTTAATCCCACCCTGAAAGGCATTAACTAAATATTTAGTTAAATGATGGAAACAGGACTATACTTAGAAGCCCTACTTTTATTATGATTTAGTCAACTTGTGGATGAAACTTTCTTTACTTGAGATTGGGGACAAAAATTTTTTTTTAGGAAGAGTTTTCTTTTATGCCTTTTATTGCTGATGACTTGTGTTCAGTAAAAATAAATAAATAAACATAAGCCTGTAACTTAGGTACCAAGGTATCGGAGCATCAGATGATGGAAAAGAAAATAATTACAGAGGCTTGGTATTTCTTTCTATGAGGTACTTTGTTGCCAGGGTAACTGAAGTAAAGCAATGGGCTTTTTATTATGTGGCTTGTCATAACAAAGCCCAATTTTCTCATGGCTATTATGAAAATGTTCCCACTTTGATATGTTGGAAATGTCATCCACTATACAGGGATGAGAGGCGTGCTGCAGTCAGTTAAAACAGCTATGTGTACTCAGATAGTTTGCTTCAGTGTTTTGGACTTGACTGTATGTAGTCTGTAATTGATCAGGTCCACAATCTATAGGAAAAAAAAAAGATTTTGTTGCCATTTTGCATCTTTACACCATCACAGTGATTTTAAATCAGACAATTAAAAATGTGATTTAAGTGCAGAATTTTAGCTTAAATTAAAGGGATTTAACTTAAACCGTTTAGGTGGTAGCCATTTCTATGCACAGACCTCCATTGACAGATCCCTAAAATTAAACTAATATTAAATAAATAAGGGGTTGTTTTAAATACATGTCCTAACATTTCCAATCAATGACTGCGTGAAGTCCAGAATCTATGGATTTCACCAAATGTTGCGTTTCCTCCCTTGAGATGCTCCATTAGGCCTTTTGTAAAGCCACCTTTGGATGCTGCTTGTTTGTGGGTGTCTCTCCATTCAGTTTTGTGTTAAATGTCTGAACAGCATGCTCCACTGGGTTAGTTCAGGTGACTGGCTTGGCCGTTGAAGACTATCCCATTTCTTTGCCCTGAGAAATCTTGGGTTGCCTTTGCGACTTTGGCTCATTGTCCATTTGCACTGTGAAGAGCTGTCTGGTTAGTTTTTCAGCATTTGCCTGAATCTGATGGAGCTTATATCCCTGTACACTTCAGAGTTCATCCTGCTACTTCTATCGGCTGTCACATCACGTTATTCTGTGGTCTTCCGGGCCTTTTGTTGTTGTTGAGTCAACCTATTCTTCCATTCTGTTTATAAAAAAACTAAAGTGATTTGCTGTTGGTTTATTTTTGCATCACTTTGGATCATATTGAATATTGAAAATGCCAGTGGAAAACTGAACAACAGGTCTCACCTAGCCATGGAGCTGCTTTTCAGTCAATTTTCCAACTAATTTTGATCTTCTGAAAATGGGGGAACTCAGAAAATAAAGTCTGTAAAAACCAATAAATCAAAGCTGAAAGTCTGCACTTCAATCACATCTCGATTGTTTGATTTTAAACCATCTGTGGCGGTTCACAGAAGCAAAACTACAAAAGCTGTATCCCTGTCTAAATACTTATGAACATTAATGTGATTACTACCAATCACAGGTCACCTGTATGCCCTCCACCTCACCTTTGCAACAGTATCCTTCAGTAGAGAAGTGCCACTTTGTGCTGACTCATCTCATTCAAGCAACAAAAGCTGCTTCTATTTACAGCTCTCGGTGTAAGTTCAACAGCTCTAAAAATGAAATGACTGGAAAATTCCAAGCAACAGTTTGATCATAACACGAACACTGGGACATACTGATCTATGAGACTGCGTTCATTTTACCTGCATGTGCCTAAAAATTGCAATAGCAGAAACTGACCTCCATTGCTGAAAAAAATAATGAGTGACCGAGCTCTGTTTTTCCCTCAGCCACATCTCTGCTGAAAACTGTTGCCGTCCTCAGTTTGAGATTTTCTTTCATAACAACCTAGCTTTTCACTACAGCCGCATAAAACCCGTCAGTGTGGGCTCTTTTTCGTCCACGCTGCTTCCGCCCAGGTAAGCAGGGACAGCGAGGACTGTCAGCAGTGAGTGAGTGAAGGCAGATGAAGCGCTGCTGTCGTTGGTCCAGCCCTCTCCTCCGCATTAGCAACAGCAGCAGCAGCAGGATCGCAAGATGGTAGCAGCGCACACTTCTTCACATTCCTCGGAATCTGCCGAGTGGATGATTTGTCTGGATAAGAGGTAATCACTTTATACCATTTCACCCGACCCATCTCAGGCTAGTGTAAGAGCGATGAATTAACGAGGAAATAACGCGATTTGGATTTTTATCCTGTAAGGAACTTGGGCGTTGTGTTTCAGTGGCTGCATTTAAACATTCAAATAAACGGAATTAGGACGTCGCGAGTGAATTAGTGCATCCCTGGACGCGCCAAGGTTACCGATCCTACAGCCTCTGACCTCACTGTTGGCTAAAGGAGTCACGCACAGTGATCCACTTAGCTGTAGAGTTGGGGAAAGCAAAGGCATCAGCTTCAGACTGGGATTTATTAATTATGTCAAAGCCAATTACTTGGCTCTTTGATGTATTCTACTTGCTTCAATTGCTCACTATCTCGGATTATTGTAATAATCAGCAGCAAACTGCTTTCTGTGACTACCAGAAGATCAAAGATCAAATACTGATATCATTATAATAATACATTAAAAGATATTTAATATGTGTCATGGATTGTTAGTTATAATGTATAGTACTTTTTTATTTGAGAGAAATTTGTTCTGCAACTTTTGGCGTGAGCAGTAATGAAATTGCTGAATGCAGGCGGACATAGAGGATTATTGCAAGGGTGGCCAAGCTATGACCATTAACTATATTGGAGTCCTTCAGCTAGCAAAAATCTTTTTTCTGCTTGGCATAATGCTGCAGGAAAATCAGTCAACTTTTCAATCTTGTGCTCTTTTGACTTGATTGTGCAAACATGGCAGCCATGTACAAGTATTACTGAGGACTCATATAAAGTACTGCTTCTTTCTGCTGCTCCCTTATTCACAAACAGTCACCACAGCAGGTAACTCTGCGTGTTTAACCTCATAGATTTTTTTAACGATTGCCCCTCCTTGACTCTTTCTATCTTCTGCTGGATCAAACAGGGATCTTTCACTTGTTAGGTGAATGTGTTAATTCCTACACTATGAAGTCAGAAAAACTGCAGCCAGGCTGGCTTCACCATTTGTTGTGTTGATGGTTTTGTCAGAGAGATGTGGCCCTTTAGTCTGTTTTGGCCACGGCCACCCCGACCACCCCGTGGTTCTGCCCCTGCTGTCAGAAGAGAATAAAGCAGCTGTATTGAGGACCTGTAATATTAGATCTATCTATCTATCTATCTATCTATCTATCTATCTATCTATCTATCTATCTATCTATCTATCTATCTATCTATCTATCTATCTA